CTGAATCACTTGTCAGGTCACAAGTAGATGGTCTGTTGCCCAAATGCTCTGTCTCTTAGTATTGAATGACACTATTTCGTGTTAATGAACAAAGATGGTACATTAGGTGAGCTTCGCTGAGTTTGGTAGGAAGGGATTTAGCACAAGTGGTTGTGTTGTGTCCATCTTTCCACAGACTCATTTCTCTCCATGTGTGCTTGATGGACACTTTTTCCCTTTAATCACCTTTCTCTCCTGCTTTCACTATTTTTTTTTATTTTGTACTTCAGTGTTTTTCTTTCTATGGCCCCTTCTGGGATCCTTTGTAAATTCCTTCTAAACAATTAGCAATTGATAAGCTCTTACTGCTCTCACTCTCTGCTTGTCTGGGAAGGATAAATGCTCAGCCCACATTGGGAATAGGCACTCTTCTGCCCACATTGGTCAGCAAATTACTTCCTTGCTCTGATTACATTTTGCCTAATTTGTTTTTAATTTTGAGGCCAAAGGCTTGCAAATAGCCTCTTATTCTGTTTGTAGATAGAACTATTACTTTTTGAATAAAGCAGGCAGATAACTGCTGATGTTGCAGTTTCTCTTTATCCTTGTCATTATCGTCATGAAAAGCATTTACTGTGCACCTGTGATATGGGCAAACGGAGCTAAATTGAGCCTTGAGCAAAGGGGAGAGAGAAAGAGACACAGAGAAATCTGCATCAGTAGGACATTACTTTTGCTTTTATTCCAGCCCACAAATGACAAGGAATAGACAAATGAGCAAATAAACAATGAACAATGCAAAAAATAAATACTGTTTGCATTAGGACCAAACAAATGGTGGAAAACTTATAGGCACAAAGGTGATGAAGTGATCCATATAAACTCCACCTTATCTAAACAGGTAAATGGTGGCATTCTGGGAACACACTCCTAGAAAAGGAATCTGGAAAGCTAAAGGATTCCCTCTGGGAAGAAGTTCTACAGTAGGCACCTGGAAGGATCAGAAAGTTGCTTGCCAACACTTTGTAGAATTACATCATGCAGCGATATGTTGAATCTAGAGCAAATTGGAGAGTGAGGACACATTTAATTTTTGACGACACTGAGCTGTCGGAATACTACCAAGAAAGAGAGGAGTGACGTATTTGAAATCTATAAATTGCATTTCGTGTTCATTTGTCACCTCGAGGAAAAGCAAATAAAGCTTCTTCCTCCTTCTGAAGTGGATGATGAATGATCGCTTAGAGTTGGGTGGCAGGAGCTGTGTCGCCTTTATTGACTTTCTTTGGAAAACAATCCATCTGCAGATGCAGACCGTGTAGCATCTGCACACCCTGCAAGTCATAGGTGAACTGCTTCTTACCACTCCTGGGCTCATTTGGACAGAGAATAATTACTCCTGTTAAAAGCAGTCTCTTTCTCTTGTCTTCACCCACCTCGTTTCCACGTCAAACAGTGGAGACTTGTTCAAGAGAACTTGGACTCACAGTGTTACAGGGTCCCTGGGCTGCATTCAGCAGAAGCCAGGGATGAAAGGATTCACTCCTTTACTTGTTCATCCTTTTATTCATTTACAATGATATATGAACCTACTATGGAATAAGCTTTTTCCTGGCAAACAGAGACCTCTCCTTTTAGGGAGCTCCCTTTGGGAATGTGCAGAGCTTGAGTTCATGCCTTTTCCTGGGTTCTACTAAAATTCTGTTACATCATATTCCAGAATACAGAAGATTAAATGCAACAAAACATCATTTATTCAAAGTCACATGAAGAGCTCAGAGAGGGTAGAGAGCTGTAATAATTAGCTTTTCATTGCTCTAAAATATACAACAAGAACAACATAGAAAAGGGAAAGTTATTTGGGGATCATGATTTCAGAGGTCTTAGTCCATAGATGACTGACTACATTGATCTGGGCACAAGATGAAGTAGTGCATCAGCAGGGAAGGGCCCATTAGAGAAAAGCTCCTTAGCATGGGAGGCCAGGAAGCAGAGACAGAGAAGAGAGGGGGAAGGGCCCCAGGGAAAACCTTCCAGGTATGCCCCCAGTGACCCACCTCCTCCAGTCATGCCCCACCTGCCTACAGTCACTACCCAGTCAGTCCATTCAAACTAGGATGGACTGATTAGGTTATGGCTCTCACAATCTAATCATCTCACCTCTGAATATTCCTACATTAACAGGAGCTTTGCGGAGGGGGGCGGGGGGATTCTCTGTATCCAAACCATGATGAGAGCCATCCTGAGCTAGCAAAACCAGGAATCATTGGGAATTTAAGTACATCCTAACCCCTGTACCAATAATAGCCTAGTTAGATTAAAAGTTGAGTTGAAGAAATTGGAATACCTTGTACTCAGTAGGCATGCCAATGTGTGTGCACTTATGATTCAGTTGCAAATGAATATACATCATGATAGTCAATGAAAAAAGTCAGAATAAAGACTCTTCTCTGTGATATGACATAAAGATGTGATTAAAGAAGAAGGAAAAAATACATGTGGTTTAACTGGATAGGCTCATGCACCATTTATTTTTCTTTTGTTTTGGATTCTACTGGAAGTCTCAACCAAGTTGTTTGTGTAATAAGAAATGATCACACAAAAATGGATCCATATTTACCTATTTGGTTTGAGTTAGATTTGAGCAGAAACTTGAAAGAAGGACTGGTGGAAAGTTTGCGTTGTACTGACATGTATATATATAAGACTTGAAGAAATTTCCTGCCCTCTTCCATCATTTCCAGAATGTCAGATTCACAAATGGAGGGTTTGTGTGAATGCTATATAGAGAGGGTGGGATTTATCCATTTATTGGAATATATTTACATTATTTCACCACTATCACTTACAATTATCTAGATACAAAGTATCTTACACAGTCTGTGGACCTTAGAGTATAGATGAATATAAAATATTTAAAATAGAGGATAAATAATAATCAGCTTGATTGGGTGTATGCTATAGGCCTAGCTTTAATTGTTTTATTTTTATGAAGTTGTCAAGTGAAGCAGGTGGTGAAGAAGAGAGGAAAACATATTCTGGTTAACAGATAACTAGGAAATCAAGGGGAAAATCATTACTTTGCTTGAGACAATAGATACTCTGTTAAACTGAGCCGCTTCGTATTATCATGAAAATTACTTTTTGGCAGTAGTGCAAAAGGCTGTTATAAATTAGTGTTAATTGTGGTTAGACATACAAGGCAATATGATCATTTGATGACTTATTTGTTTTTTGAAGAATGACAGCTTTTATGTGCCAATAAATATGAAATCACCTGGAAATGTCTCTGTAAATTTAGGAGCCATCTAAACAGTCTCGTTTAATGCATGCACTGGTGTTTAATGAAGCGATGTGAGTTTGTACTTAGAAGATTACCTGATGGCTCTTGTCAACCATCCAGTGAGGGAAGCAGTCTACTTGGTGAGTGTGAGACACATAAACCTGTAACTGTGAGAATTTATGGTTGACAGGCAGTGGCTTCACTGAATGTGAGAGGGGATTAGACTCCCGTTTTGCATGCTTCCTATTTTGTCTGGAGTATGGCTGACAGTTACCACATTCTCCTTACCCCAGTATATCTCTTTTGTCTTCTTCAAGAAGAGGTTGGAAGAATAGCAAGAAACTTTAAGCTTATCCTGAATAACCTAGAGTTTAGGCACAATGTGCCTGGAATGCAAACTTCATGCCATTTGTAGTAAGAAACACACCATTTTCAAAGATCATACTAACTCTTCTTAGTTTTTAAGATGATTGCCTCTGAATCCTTGAGAAACCTGTATGTGTCTGCTGGGCAGCCTGCTGCTTTATGTCATGGCTCTGTTCTCACTCTGTCTCCTCTCTCCCTCTTCCTGAAACTGCCGCATCCTTGGCTGGTAATCTTTAAATCCTAGGCTGCAGTGATTTCTCTTCATAGAGCCACACATTAAGCACATCTTTCTTGCTTCTCTCAACCAAACTCAGAGAATGTCAATTAATAAGCTGATGGGGAAGAAGTCAATGTGTAGCATTAAGGCCCTGTGTCTGGAGATATTAGGTGTGCCCTTTGACTGAGTGAAAGGAGACCCACAGAGGGTGGTGAGTGAGGTACTTTATCATACATCCCTAGAGGCATAAAAGGAGACGATAGAAAGCAGTTTTCAGGGCACCTCGTTCATCTTGCTCCACTGTGGTCTATTCGCAATGCTCCAGCCCAGATTGGGGATCCCAGTGAGTGCAAAATATCTGAAGCTGTGAATTGTGCATATTTATAGCCCCTGGGCTAAAAATTGTGAAGGGCAACCAAGTGCAAATATGCTTTCATGGAAATTTCATTCACATTTTTGCCCACAGACAAAACAAAAAGACCAATATCTCTATTCTCATGGATCTTGTGTTCTAGCAGAAGGTATAGAGATGAAAAAGAAAATAACAAATAACTTATATAGGAGGTTAGAATGTAATAAATATGTTGGATAAAATAACCTAGGTATTATTCCAAGAGAAAGGTTTCATGAGGCCAGACTTTGACTCAAGGCTCAGAAAATCAGGTTGAGGGTTGGATGACAAGGACACTGTGGAAGTGGAATGAAGGGGTATGGGATAGGAAAGAAAAAAGAAGACAACAATAGGGTTTCTGTGTTCTCAGTTCCCACAACAGACAGTAACCAGTCACTCATTTACTGTGCCAAATGGAGCAATTAAGGGGCCAGATGAAGAAGCACTGGCATTAAGGAAGTCATAGGAAATGTTGCAGGGGAAGGAGTAACTAGAGGAAAAGAAAAAAAAAGGAATCCTATGGAAGAAAATGCAGTTCTCCCTCTCTTTCCCTTCCTTACCAATTCCACTGCCCCTTTCATTTCTCACGGTTTGATGGCATTGATCCACAATAGCAGCATAAACGTGGCAGAGTGAAGGTCTTTGGCCAAGAATTCTCTACCTGCCCCTTATCTTTCCCTTGTCTAAATTTTAGCTCATTTTTGAGTTTTGTAAGTTTATAACCTCTCTGTTTTTTTTTCTTTTCCCCACCATTCTTCCTGCAGATTATGTTACTCACAGACCCGGAGATTGAGAGCAGTTTATTGATCAGCTCAGATGAAGGGGCAACGTATCAAAAGTACCGGCTGAACTTTTACATCCAGAGCTTGCTTTTCCACCCGAAGCAAGAAGACTGGATTCTGGCATACAGTCAAGACCAAAAGGTGAGCACCGTGACTTTCTTGAAACTCTGGTGCCCAGATCTCCAGGGAAAAGAGAGCTAGATAATCACCTCTGTATTTCATCTGGATGACTGCTTCTGTTCTGTGCAATAGCCTGAACTTTGTGCCAGTGAGATATAGGGAAGCAAAGAGGATCTTGGGTTTCTTGCTTAACCCAGATGAACATCTCAAACAGCATGAAGAATACAGGTTAGATTCTAGACAAAACACTGGAGAAGCAGTTCTTCACTTGGATGCTGTGCTAGCTTTCTGTCACAGTAACAGATTACTGAGATAATCAACTTAAAAAGAAAAAAAAAGTTTATTTTGACTCACAGTTTTGGAGGTTCTAGTTGAATGTCCCCAACCTTTGGGCTTCCAGCAAGGTAGCACCTTATGGCAGGGGGTGTGGCAGAACAAAATCTATCTCATCTGCCGGGAGGTAAAGAGAAGAAAGCATGAGTTGTGGCCAAGGTTCCACATCCCCTTCATGAGCATCCTCATGATGACCTAAGGACCTCCTACTAGGCCCCACCTCCTATATATCCCCAGCACCTCCCGGTAGCCCTGCCTTGGGGATGCACCCTTTAATACACGGACCTTTCGGCAACATTCTTTCATCTAAACTATAGCAGATCTCTGAGGTTGTCAGGAGCTACTGGCCTCCGTGGAATTGGAGACTATTTTATGTATATGGGTAGGTGATCAATTTTCACAGTAAAGGATTCATAGCTTTGCTCAGAATCTTACAGGGAAGCACAAATGCAAAGAAGGGTGCTAAGGGTTTGCTAAAACAAGTGAGAGAAATGACCAGAGAACAACAATAATGTGCACAGGTAGTGTTACTCAGAACCCAGTGACCTCAGGAATTTTCTTCACTTAGTGGGAAGAAGTCCACTTCTTAAGATAGCACAAGATGTGTTTATGCTATTTATTACATTTGTGTGCACATGCATGTGCCCCATAAATGTCATACTGTATTCAAGGTACTCTGTACTACATATGTACCACAAAAAAGCAGAGAACACCTGCTTTTAGAGAGCTTACATTCTCAGCTATAATATAAGGTTAGCAATGGCAGATATAATTAAATTAAAAGTAAAAGAAACAATATATGCATAGGCAAATATGAGAGAGACTATAGCCACGAAACTTAAAGGGAAAACAGGATATATGGTATTATTCAGTGAAGTTATACTGAGGATTCCCCTTAGAGGAGTCATGTCTTAAAAATTATCTATATTGAAAGAAGAACTGGCTGCATGAGTTGGGAGGATATTCCAGAGTTTAATCTGTCTGAGCATGCATCAAAGTTTGGGGTTTTCTCTGAAGGCAGAGGAATGGTATAAGCAATTTCCCAAGGTCTCTACTGTCGTGAGCATTTTGGAGGAAGCAAATGAACATCTTACGATTGGAGTTTTATTCATAGTGCCCTTACTGCCAAATAAAATGCACATTATGCCTAAAAATAGAAAAGATTTACAATTAGTCCTTTTTTTGACTCTTGAGCAGCCTGGCTAGCCTTTGAGCAGAATGCACAATTCTGTTCCTGGAGTCAAGCCACAGTGCATCTGGCCCAGGAAGTCTCAGTTAACAGAGATGAGGGATGAGCAGCTCAGGACACAGAGTATTAGTCATTTAATCCACTGGGTTATTGAATTTTATTCGACAGTTGGTTAATTTTTTTCCCCTGATGCCAGAGGCACAGTGAAGGCCAGATTTACCTGGCTAAGTGAAAACTCTGCATCTTTGCAATTATGCTGGAAGTGATGCCTATAAATGTAACACTTCATGTCCCGTCACTTCAAACACTGCCTCCTGAGCTCTCTATAGCAGAGTAGATGACCCTGTAGGAGATAGGGCACATGGACTGTGATCCCAAATCAGCCTTTTGTGGTGAATAGTTTTAGCGCTGACTTCCTTTGCCTTCCAATATGTTTGTATGGATAATTATAATAGCGGATGCTCCTCCAACAAGTTTGAAACAAACCACAAATACTAGACTCCACATCTGTTTTAGACACTCTGTGTGGTTGTGATGTCAGTATATAATAACTATATCAAGGAGCTTAATTAATACATATAATTTCACGATGCCTGAGAGAGGCTAAAAAGTCAGTGCCCTCACTTAAGCATAATGACTGCACAATCAGAGTAGCTGAATGAATTTCATGCAATTGGTAGCCCATAGTTGAAGAGATAGAGATTTAGTGATATGTATAACTTTGAAGTCCTATGAAATGACTTCACCTGGACCTTCATGAATACATCAGATTTCTGTTTGAGAGGAGCACATTTTTTTAATATGAGGAATATCAGAAATAATCATATAAAGTTTGGAAAACCATGTTTACAGGATTGTGTATTTGGCTAAAACCAAAGTCTGGTAAAGCTAATTATAATGTGCGCGCGCGCGCACACACACACACACACACACACACACACACACACTTTTAGAACCTAATTTTGATTAGTTTTCATTTTTTAACTGATTGTGCAGGCATAAATAATTTTTTGTTTTCCTAATTAGCAGCCTTTGGGAATTTTGGTCAGGATAATGATGTGTTCAGCCTGTGGATGTCAAGAACTAAAATGATAATGTAAGGATGAACTGAGGTCCAAAGCAAGAAGACTGGTTAGGGTGATGGGTATACTGCTGGCTTCACATGTTGAAAGTCTGGAACAGAAGATACCTTTTGTCACCACAGACCCAATGAATCCTGTCATCTTAGAGCTGAAAAGAACCCTTGTTCATCTGAGCTCTAAATGATGCTAAGGATTCAGAAATCTGAGGAGTGAATACATTTCTTCAAAGGGAAAATGATCCAACTGGTATCATCTGTGGATGCCCAATGAATAGAAAAATGATTCCATAAAATTTGATAGGGTTCTCATTTTCAAGAGTGATATTTTGAGGTGTACAGATGGGTAGAAGCCCGTTTTTCTGCAACCTTTCTGTTTCTGTAAGAAAGAATGAAGGATAAATCATCTTGGCATGACAAATTGGATTATCTGATAATATATATGGAAGGGGCCCAAGACTCAGTCTTTCAAGGCTTGAGCCACAGAATGAGGCTGGGAGCATCAGCCAGAGGGGAGCAGGCTGCAGACATTGCCACAGGCTAATGGTGGTATTGTCTGGAGTCAAGTGGAGAGGGACTGTGGTCACTCAGGTGGGTCATTGGTATGGAAATCAGAACGGGCAATCACTTGTAGACCATGGGGCTTTTAGGACTGAAGAGCTGTAGCTGTGGGCATCAAGCAGGGTCGGTGCTGATGTTGGCTGGTCAGTGGCTGTATGTGCCTAGCAAAGGAGAATGTTTCTTTTTTCATACACCTCATCAGGGTTTCAGTGACAGCTGCTTCAGAACTCCCATCCTCAGTGCTGGTATCAATAGGCTGGATGCTGTTTTACATCAAACTAGTGAATAGAACTCTCGGCTGAGTTGCCATCTCTTAGAAAATGCCTCGTTGGATAGTGGCTCCTCCAGAACTTACCTGAGAACAAAGTCTTTACTCCTGGCTTTTCTTATTTGCTGTTTTCTTTTTCTTTTCTTTCTTTCTCCCTCTTTAAACACCTCGACACATTTCTTTGTCCTGTATTTTCTGACATTGTTTTTTTCTGTACTTCAGTGAATGAGAATCTTTTAGGTCCTGAGGACAGAATTTGGATCTCTGGCCTGAAGAGAGCCCATATGGACTGCAGGCTCTGCTCCTGCTGTTTCATCTTGGATGCCTTGAACACCCAGTGGAGGCTTTTTGATGTGAGCATTATAAGGGACTCAAAGAGTTTTCTTGAGCAGTTTGTCTTTACTGGCCCAAGTTAAGAGTTTTGCTGGCCATCACTTCCATGGGAGGCCAGATTTTTTTTAAAGTGGTTTTTAATTAAGGATAAATTTGTGTGGTTTAATGTTGTCAGACTTCTCAAAATTGGGAAATTTTAATGTTTTAGTTGTTTTCCTTGGAGGGAAAAATCTATTGGTGATATTCAATATCTAAGTAGTTGCATTAGCCAGGGTTCTTCAAAGAAACAGAACTAGTAAAAGAGAGATTATGAAAATTGGCTTATGAAATTATGAAGGGCCCAAGATCTGCTTTATGCTAGCTGGGAAAGTGAAGAAAACCAGTGGTGCGATTCAGCCCAAGTCCAAAGGCTTGGGAATTGGGTAGTAGTAGGATGTGGGGGTAAGTGGGAGGAGTGCCAATCATGTAAGTTCAGAGCCAAGTTCAGAGACCTAAAAATTAGGAATGTGGGTTTCTGAGGGCAGAGAAAATGAATGCCTCAGCTCAAAAAGAGAGAGCGCACTCTCCTTTGGAACCTCAAATGACTGGATGATGTCCACCCACATGGGGAGGTGGAATTTCTTAACCTACTGATTCATATACTACTGTAATCTGGAAACACCCTCAAAGACACACCTAACTATAAGGTTTACCAGCTATCTGGAATTTCTCAGCCCCGTTAGGCTGACATATAAAATCAACCACTGGTGCTGTTGCATGGAGATAAATGCTCTCTTAAATGGGTGAGTTCCCCAAGAATGACTGAAGGGAAAAGTGTAAATTCTTTTTCCTATTAAAGGTGTTAAAGAAATAGCCTGACTGCTAAAAAGCCCTGCCCTCAGACTTACCTGTTCAGAAATAGGAGCAATACTCTGACCTTTTGAGGATCTATATGAGAGTGTGCTTTTGGAAACCATGCCCCTCAGATTCATGGTGAACCACTGTGAACCACAGGAAGAAATCCATGGCATTTATCATAGAAGCATGAGAATCTTGCTCTTTTATTTATTGTTTATTTATGTAATTTAAACAGTAGGCAAACGGAACATTCTGCTCTTGTTGTTGTTTTGTTTCTTTGTCTTTGGAAACGAAGCAGACAGGAAAAAGGAGACACAGCCCTTTACTTCGTTGCTCGTTTTCCCGACTTTCTTGCCTCAATACAGGAAACCACCCAAGGAAGGCTTAGCAGCAGGCTGAGTCTGCCAGATTACATCTTTATT